AGTGTCTACCTTGGGAAGCCGCAGTGCTGGAGAGGAATAGGACAAAGAATCTCCTTTCACATAGAAGAAAATGCACCTTCAGAGCCTTGGAAGAATGCAAGATGACAAAGAGAGTTGTAAGGAAAAGCAACCCCCCCACCCGCCCCAGAATAATCAGGCTCCTGTTAGAGAGCTAGTAACAGCCTTCATTCCTACCTTCAGGGGAAGCACACATTTCCTCTACTCCAGCAAAATATGGCATCAGGGTCTTGAACTACCTCTTGTAATTTTCTTTAAGCAAATTAAGAAAGAGAGCATGAAGGGAAGAAGGCTTTCAAACCTATGACAGATTAGTTTTACAGGGGGCTGCTATCTAGGTTTCCCCCCACATTTGAAAATAAATTCGAAAAGATGTGAAATCATCTTTACATGACAACAGAGCAACATTGCAAAGTTTAAAACCTGAAGTCTACCCCTATCCCTGGTGGACCGCCACAGCAAGGATGCCACCAGGCTGGCTGCTGGCTCCGCTGAGAAGCAAAGCACGTGTCTACCCCAATTGGCTTAGTTTTTCCAAACCAAAATAAAACAAATAGATCAGTCTAGATACATAGCCCCCAGCCTTGTGTGCGCAGTGTCTCCATAGAGAGAACAGGATGGAGATGGATATCTCAGGGGCACCCTCAGAACTGGTACCTGCCGTACAGACAGCCTGAGAACATCCAAGTAAGGAAACAGGCTGCCTTGATCAAGCTCACCAACTTTAAAAAAAGTGACTTGACAAAGATTTCCACTGTTGCAAAGGTAGGTGAGTTGTTACCACTTAGAGTGTGAAGGACACTATCCTGCTTTGATATGTACAGAGGGTCTCTCCCAGTTGTTCATCCGTACTTCACTTCTGAGAGAGGGAAGGTGGAAACCTCATCCTGAGAAGGGGTTGACTGCAGTCCCTTTTCTTCCCATTTAAGCACCTCTGCCATGGGAGCAACTTCTCCATCCCTCATTGCCTCTCAGCATCACTATCAGCACCCCCACTCCCTTTTAAAAAAGTGGAAAGGAATGAAGGTTTCTTTTAAGCAGGGATAATCATTTCTGCTCATCTGATTGCTTCTTCCCAAGACATTCATCTTGAGTACTGTTCTTTATAAACTGAAAATCAGAGAGTAAAGGTGTTTGGTAAAAGCTGCCCTTCCTGCCCACCCCCTCCCCACCTCCTAGCCCACAGCACCAAAACCTTTAGCAGAAACTTTTAAGCAAAAAATCAATCTAACTTTTCCTTCCTTCTTTCGTTTCCTTCTCTTTTCCTAATTCAGTTTTCCCTTAAAAGACAACTTCAATCCTTCCTCTGAAACTGGTAGCCCAGCGATTTCAATTTCATTTTTTGTTACAATATGCATATGCTTGTGTGATTTTTTTTTCCAGGAGCTGATGGAGGAACACAGGGAACTGAGGAGACAGCCCCCTCTTCACAGAAGGTTGCTAATGAAGAAGGAAATCGGGACATCCCAGGACCTGCTGCCTAAATCAAGGGCGAAAGCAACAAACTTTGCAAGTTACAAACTGGCTGGAGGTGGTGGCAGACTGCAGCGGGGGCCCTTCCTTTCTGGAGAGCTCATTCCTGCCTCCAAGGCTATGTGGAGATAGTGGGGTATAATCAGAGGACTATAAAGGGGGACTGGCTTTACCCCTCCTCTCCAGCCTTAGTGAAAGTGTTACAAAGTGAGTCAGGCGGCTGAGGATCATCTGACTGAACTTTCTCGAAACCTATACATATTTTGGTCTGCTGGCTACTTGCTTTTTGCCTCCTTCCCTAACCCTACTCCCTTTTTCCTCCCTGAACATCTTATTTTCTAGTAAGAGATTTCCTGCTTTCTCTGCGGGTGAAAGGAAAGGAACCTACTAGCCATGGTTTAGCTTGGTCCTGGCACTGTCTTTGCTAGTCATCTTGCTGGCCTGGGAATATGGGAGGCTGAATTTTTTTAGATTGTTCTTCTCTTTCTATATTTATGTCCCCTGATCTGCCTTCTTGTCCTGGGCTTAAAAAAAAAATAATACACATCACCATCTTCTAAGCCAAGGTTTTGACCAGCCATTCAAACACACAGGGACTGCTTTGCCGGTTTTGTTTTCTTGTCATTTAGTCTACACAGACACACACCGTTGACTTCATTAAAATTATATAAAGTGCCATTCTAGGTCTTGGGCCTTCATCCCCCCCCCCACAGCTTCTACTCCTATGATTATTGTTGCTATTATTCCTTTCCAGGAATTCCTATATGATGCTGATAAGCATCATCATATTTAGTGTTATCAGCAAAGACACAAGCTCAAAAGTGACATCTTTTCCATGAATCCAGGGAAGAAGAAAAACCCACTCAGTTCAGATAAATCCTAGTAATTCCCAAAGGAAAATGCATTAGGTATGCATTTTATGAGAAAGAAAATGAAAGAGTCATGGGGGTGGCCCTCCTACCTGCTTCTCAAGACCTGGACACTGCTAGGTCAGATTAAACCCAACGAAAACACTGACAAGTCCCCAGTTTACAACATGTTTTCTCATAGATTCTTTGGGAAAAGAGACAGGTAATAGTCTAAGTCAGAGAATCTGTGAGCAACAGACGGCATTGCTGATGAGTGTTTAGGGTCTGGGATAAATGCCTGAAAATCGCAGTTCAACTTTATCTACCTCAGAGTGTGAAAGCTTGTCCCAAGTTAATAGCTGTTCATAAGGGAAACGGTTGGTGTCCCTCCCTGGTACACTGTGTTAGGCCCCAATAGCCTGTGCCACCAGAGTTCCCAGGGAGCCTGAACCTCTCCCTGTCCCCAAACTGGGCTGTGGCCTGACCTCACTGCTTCAGCCAAGTTGGTGTTTCACAGCAAATCATGAAGGGAGTAGAAGGAGGAAGAACAAGAAGAAACACTTCAAACAGTCTTTACTGCAAAAGAATACTTCTGGTAGCCTCGATTTAAATCTCATTCTCCTTTCTCTCAAAAAATAACAGTTTAACTGCGGGTGGGGGGCGTCACGATACAAAGCTTTTGTTATCCAGATGATCAGCAATGTGCTCCAGATACTTGTAAGGGGGGAAGCCCCACAACAGACATTGATTTTAGAAAATCAATAACTAACATTTAATAAAGGGGAACAGAGGAAACACAAGAGAGGAGAGGGGAACATTGGATGTAATTTTAGTGTCTACTAAATTACCCAGAGATGGAGAAGGGGAGGTCTCCTGTGTAAGGACCACCTTAAATAATGCCAGGCAGCAATGAAGAAAAAATTAAATTAAAAGAGAGACACAGGCACATACTTAAAAAGAGGCTGCCTGAACCGAATCTTGGGAACCAGCTTGGAATATATTATTGTCCTTGTTTTTTGTAATACTAAGCCAAGCAAACAGATCAAAGACAGCACAAAGAGGAAAGGCAGGGTAACATAACGAATAGTTTTTGACTAAAATTCTTCTGTCACTCCCCCATATGGTTCCTCACCTCCACCACAACAAGCAAAAGACACACACACACACACACACACACACACACACACACACACACACACACACACACACGGAGAGGTGAGAGAGGGAGATTATTTGTCTCTAACCAGAATCCTTTAGTCTTTGTGTTTACTCCCTCCAGCACCCCAAACTCCCACACTGCACCCCACCCCACCCCCACCCCAGTCAACCTTCTGCACGCGGTGCAGCATTGAGGCAGGCTAGGGGAGCGCACAATTGTCCTCTCTAGTGGAAAGTTGTTTCAAGTGGGCTCGGGTAGTAACACCGGGCGAGGGCTGGGGGAGCGAGAACCCGGTATGCTACGACCCTTGTGTCCAGCTCGGGAGCGTCTACACTGCCCGCTCCCGGTGAGCCGGCTGAGAGCGAAAGGAGAGTGAAGTTTCCTTTCCGATTCTGGGCTGGCGCGGCTGGATCGCTTGTTTGTTTTGAGGGGATGCCCCCCCCATTTCTTTTGATTTTTTTCTTTTAAAACTCAGTATCCTCCGTCAGCACCCACCCCCTGTACCCTCTGTAGTCCCCCAACTCTCACCCCTCCCCCAAGCTCTTTCCGCGCACTTGCCAATCACTTTTCTCTTTTATTCCCACGATTTTGTTTAGGGGTAATACCTAGGGGGTCTCTCTCTCTCTCCCTCTCTCCCTCTCTCTCTTTCTCTCTCTCTCTCTCTCTCTCTCTCTCTCTCACACACACACACACACACACACACACACATTCCATAGTCTCTCATCAAAATGGATCTAAACTCTCACGTACACATCCCTTTAATCTGCCACTTCTGGTCTGCGTGTCCCCTGGTACCCCCATCTCTTTCCTCCTCCCTGACTCAGCCTGGATAACGGGCTCCAGGGGGATTCTTTTGGCCTTGGAGCAACTGCTGGGAAAAGTCTCTCTTCGCCTTACTCTCTGGCCCGGAGCGGGGCCTGAGCCTGCTGCTTAGGAGCCGAGTCCCCAGCCCTCAGCTCCCCTCGAGTCCCCGCGTCCGGCCAGGGCCCGCGGCCCGCGGACCGTTACTTGGCGCACATAGAGGCGGCCCGGAGACTCCAGCAAGTAACTTTGAGGCTGGCGGAGACGCAGTCTCTGGTCCCCTCCCTCGCCCGAGTCGCCCTGCTACCACCCTCACCCACACCGCTTAGTCCAGCGCGCCCGGGCGCCGGCGCCCCCGCCCTGTCCTCGCCGGCCGCTCCTGCCGCGGGGCCGGGGGACCTGCGGGCCGGGGAAACGAGCAGGCGGAGGCTCCGTGGGTGCTGGGGCCGCGGTGTGAAGCGCAGGTCCGGTCGGCAGCACTCGGAGCAACCCCCAGTCGCCTGGCGCTCACTTGGCCCCGCACTTGCTCAACTCCCCCCTCGGTGCAGCGGCCGCGCGTGGGGCTCCGGCGCTGGCCGCTGAGGGAGGTTCGCCCGCGAGCCCCAGGCGCCGCCGCCGGCTTCCTTCTCCCTCTGCCCCCCTTCCCCCTGGTCTCTGGCCGCGGAGTGGCCCGGAAAAGTTTGGTTCGGGCCTTTTCTTACCGTTTTTCCTCCTGGGATTGGCTTGTTTGCGCCTCTTGCACCGGGGGCCATCCGCCATGATCGGCTGCTTCATTGATAAGAGCGGATCAGATGGCAGTTCGCATGGACTCGGCGCCCTGCTTCGGCAGCACGCAGGCTCGATCTAGCAACCAAACACAGCGACAATGTGGGCATCGCCCGCGCCCATTGAAACGCGCGCGGGCCGCCCAGGGGAGCCGGGCCAGGGCCCGGGTGAGCACCCATCCGCGCCCCCAGCGCCAAAGTGAAACTTCGGCGGCCCCCTCCCCGCCCCCCACCCCCAGCCTTGGCCCCGAGGCGCTTTGTGTTGTTACTGTTTGGTGTGTTGCACTCGCGAGGGGATCAGAGACAAGAATTACATCTTCAAAATGA